TGTTTTGAGTCTAAGTCTTGCTCTGATTGTTCTTAGTATTGTTGATTTTATTACACACTTCATTTTATGCTGCTTCTGTCATAAATAATGGAATGTAGTGGAAGGGAAGTTAAAATATATTATGTTGCTGTGTTAATTAGGTTTCTAGGTTAATCTGCATATTTGAAAGAAATGTCTAATCAGCTTATAATAATATTTAAAGATACTAAAGCAATTTCTTTGGTAAGGTTCATGTACTTGTTTTGATTTGAAAGATGAGTTGATAAATGCATTTATATCAACATGGTGATACATATTTCAGGGTTTTAATTGTCATTATCTTGTTTTGTGGGGTTGCAGTGAAAACAATTAAAATGAGAATAGGTGAAAAGAATGTATATCTTATAAGAAACCAAGCCAATTTATGTGAGGTAGACTATATGTTGATACTTTTGAGAGGTATATAAATTAACTTTCTCAATTTTCAGTGTTTTATATATACTTAACAAAATAAAATACAGAAAATTAAACTATACTTCCATAAGCTGTTAACAATGTTTACATAAAAAGTGGTAATACCTGGTTAAAAGTTTGTCAAAATTTTAGAAATAATTGGCCTCAAAGTCCTTTTAATAGATTTAGTCATCTTCCTTTATTGATTCCTGGGGGCAGTAACTTTTAAAAGCCAATCAACAAACAGTTAAAAAAATTTGAGCAATGTTTGTCCTAGTTATGGTCATCAACTTTAAGAATTTGCAAATCACTGAACAAAGCATTTTTTACTTAGGTGCTATTTTTGTGACTTTTCTTTTCTATTAATTTACAGTGAGACTAGTTATTTATAAACCAACCATCAGTTAAGGCATTAAAAAATAAAATCAATGTATTTGAATTATTGATACTGGTTGTCATAATGTATGACCTTCAAAAACACTGATCTGACCTTCTGGGGTGACAGTGGCGAGGTGATGGTGGCTTCATTCACCAACTTTTCATAATTCAGACATAAATATCTGTTTTAAATTAAAGGACACCTAAATGAATAATCTGGTTCCTTTATTCCTATATTCCTATTTTTATATAGAAACTGCATTTCCAAAGATTGATTAAATACTAAAGTCCAAAGCTAATACAGATTTGCCTCACATTGTTTCTGATTATATCCTGCTACTTCTGTATGTAGTGATAACAAATTACAGCAAAACACCCTAAAAAAAACACAATTGCTCTAATAAGGACAGAACTATCAAAAATTTATACCTTCTCTTTCAGCTAAAAAATTATGAAATTTTGATCTAATTTGGGGTGCATTAATTTTCTTCCAGAAAGGTTTGCTGAAAAGCACTGTGGAATTCTTCTTGATTCAAGTGGGCCCTTTGCTTCCTGCCATCCAATTGTGAACCCTAAATTGTACCATGAGGTATGTGAGGGTCTAACACTAACAGTTCTTTTTGAGAAATATTTTGATAATATTAAAAGAAACATGTAGATATTAAAACAAATAGGAGCCATTGTCAGTAGATTAAGATATACGTTTAAATTTAACATTGGATTCTACTTATTTTAATCAATTGTTATACACACCAACTTAAAAAAAAAGGTATTATAAAATAACCCCACCTGAGAAAAATCTTCAGTAAATTTCTCATTCTGTCTTTTCTAAGTTCTTTGAAAACTCAATTAATAATTGATTTGCTATTTGGCATTTTTTTGAAAAGAAATACGTCCGAAAGTTTCAAGGACAAATTTTTTTTTCCAGAGACATAAGTGGTCATGAACCGATCATTCTACCCAGTCTACTTGTTCTTCTGAATAGTTTCATAATGTAACATAAATTTGTTTCTTATTTTTAAGGAATGCAAAAAATACACGTGTACTTGTGAAAACAGTCAAGACTGCCTGTGTACAATTTTAGGCAACTATGTGAAAGCATGTGCTGAGAAGGAAACTTACATTGAAGAATGGAGAAACGGACGATGTGGTGAGCAGGAGAGAGGCTTTAGATAAACTACTTTCTTCTCAATTTTACAACAGAGTGTGTGTGTGTGTGTGTGTGTGTGTGTAGTTTAGGCACATGTATTAACAGATTTGTACTTGCTTCTTTCAAAGGTAATTCTCTATTTTTTTTTAAAACGTTTGTTCAATCCTTGCATTTTCACTTTGTGATTTATTTCTTTTTTCTTGATTTCCTAAATAAGAACAGAATATATATGCATTTGCATGTAAATAAATGTTTCTGTTCAATTTTTGTATGCTGAAATCGAATGTTCTGCCTCCTACTGCATTTTTAACTGGTAGTCAAATATTAATAACTTATTTTGAAAAAATACATTAGTAAATTTGGGGCTCAGCTACCATATTTGTAAACTATTGTTTTGTTTTAAAATGTTTATTGCACTAAAGTTTAACAGAAAAAGAAATATACTATATGTTACCACTTATATCTAGAATCTAAATAATAAAATAAACTAGTGAATATAACAAAAAAGAAACAGACTTACAGATATAGATAACAAACAAGTGGTTACCAATGGGAAGAGGGAAGGGGGCAGGGCAAGATAGGAGTAAGGGATTAAGAGGTACCAATTACTATGTATAAAATAAACCACCTATAAGGATACATTGTACATTACAAGGAATATAGCCAATATTTTATAATAACCATAAATGGTATAATATATACCAATTTTGAATCACTGAGTTATAAACTTGAAACTAATATAATATTGTGTGGGTTTACCTGTCTCCCGTGCCCACTTCACACTTGATTTTTTTTTTCTCAATTAATAGATGAGAAATGGTTGCTGCATTTGCTTACTAGCAAGACTGAAACCTATTGCCTCATGTTTATAAACTTTTTGGATTTTTTTTTTCTTCTCTGAATTGCTGTTGTCATAACCTTAACCCATTAAAAAAAACGGATTCTGTTTTTCTTATCAAATTGTAGTTATTCTGTATTTTAAAAAATTGTAAATCAGCTACACCTTAGTAAAAAGGTGAAAAAAAAGTTATTAGAAGGCTAATAAAATCCTTCACAAAAAATGTTTATTGCATTATTTAGATATGACTCCAGAAAAATACTTGATTTACCAAAACAAAACAAAACAAAAAAACCACCTTTTAGAAACCTTTACCAAAAAAAAAAAATGCCTTTTAGAAACATAGGTCATGCTTAATACCTCATAGCCAGTATCCAATTAATCAACAAAGTCTCTCAAGTTCACTTCCAGAATTTTTCTTAAGTTTTTTTTCTCAATTTTTCTCCATTCACATCTTTCCGTCTCTGTTGCCAACAACCTGGTTCAGAAGCCCTCACTCTTCCTCCTGGGTAATGGCAATAGCCTCCTTCTCTATCTTCTCTTGGTTCCATCTAATCCATTTTCTGCCAAGAAATCAGTATTATCTTTAAAGTAAAACAAAGAAAAACATACCCGATCATGCGACATTTCAGTCTAAAACAAGTCAATGGCTTTTCATCGCTTTTAGGCTTAAGACCAAGCTTCTCACCAGGCGCTGCAAGTTCTAATGAGTGCTTCTGCCTCTGGGCTTACAGCTTCTATTCTTCTACTTGCTCTCTGAAAGCATTTCCCTCTCTTCTGAGGCTGTTCCCGGGAGATAGAATTACCTTTCCTTAGGCTGCCTTCATGCTGGCCATCTACCCCCCCTCCTCCTCACTAAGGGCAGGTGCTCAGTTGTACACACTTCACAGTTTCCCACCTTGCTTTTTTTTTTTAGCGTGCACCACAATTGTCCTTTCCCTGGGAATATAAGCCACATGAGAGCAGTGTCCTGCCTATCTTGCTTATGGGCTTTATCCCCGGCGGAATGTACAAACATAGTAGTGTCTCAACACTGACAGAGAAAAAAAATGAAAACCAAAATGAACCAATATCTTTTCCATGATGATCCATGGGATATGAATGATTCACTACAATACCTGTAAACACCAAGTTGAAGTAAAATTGCTAGTTTTTCTGGATATGCACATGTTTACTACTTTTTTCTCCTCTACCAACAGATCATTCTTGTCCGAGTGGCCTCGTTTTCAAGTACAATGTAAAAGCCTGTAATAGTTCCTGCCGCTCATTGTCAGAGAGAGACAGGAGCTGCGATGTGGAAGATGTTCCAGTTGATGGATGCACCTGCCCTGATGGAATGTACCAGAACAATGAAGGGAACTGCGTTCCAAAGTCTCAGTGTGACTGCTACATAAATGACGAAGTCATCAAGCCAGGCAAACTCATAAGTATTGATGACAATAAATGGTACGGAGATTACAAATGGACTTGCTAAGACTTCGAAATGAAGGGACTGTGCTTTTCAGAGAAATAGTCTTTTGCTAGCTAGCTTGAAGGTTTCTTTAGACTTGTCATATAGTTACTTTGGTATTTCTTATTAAAATTAGTCATTACCCTCCTTTTAGCTGGAGTGTAATGGCCATCACTACTTTATTCCACTCTCCTTTGGTTTTAAATGACAGTAGAAAAATATTCTAGCAGCTACACCTACAGGCAATACAAAATGATTTTATAGTCAGACAGTGTTTTCTTGTTTTCTCTCAGTATGTATCATTCAGCAGTTATTCAATAAATATCTCCTGTGTGCCAGGCCTTTGTGCTGAATGCTGGAGTTACAAAGATGAGAGAACACTGTCTTAGACTCATACAGTAAGCATGACTATTGCAGGGAGGTTTTTATACTATAATACAGTAGCAGAAAGGACCCGTTGCTACCTCAGGAGGTTACAAACAGAAAACTTCTCAGAAGAGACCAGCATTTCAGCTTTCCTAACGGATGAATCATTTTCCAGACAAACCTGGGGTGTGAAGAGTGATTCCCAGTGGAGTAAACAGAATGCACTAATGTAGGAAATACTTGAAAAGATATTGCACATGTAGGTTATTGTTGGCCTGGAAAAGAAGTCAGTGGTCAGGCCATAATTCAGAATTTGAACTTAGTTCCTGGGCAGTATGAATTGTTGAAGAATTGTGATTTTTTTGTAATGGATAAAGAGGTAGCAATTTCTCCCGTTTGGGGCAAAATAATGTATTTATGCTTCTTATTCCAGAAACAGCAATTCTTAGAGACATAACTGCAAAAATGAAGTAGCTATTCCAAAAATCTTCAGAAGCATCTTGTCTCTTTACTTTAGTTCTAGAAAGATATCATTAACAATGAATAATTTTTCTTGGCCATTTATTTAAAAGGAAAGCATGGGTAAAAACCCCTTTCCATCAAAGCACACTAAATATTTGGTTGGGGTTTGATAATGATAGTTTCTCTGTGGATGCTGGGGAATCAGGAGACAACCTTTTTAAATTACTTTTTTAATGAAACTCAGACTAGCGCCTCCAGACTACGGTTGCCTTCATTATCACCCTGTTTCAGAACTCCAGCACCTCTTACTGGCACTGCTGTGATGGCTAGCTTGGCCCTGTCCTCTCTGTCTCTGTCTCACTGTTCCTGCATTACCGCCAGAATGTCAAAACTAAAGCACTATTTGGATTGTGCCACTTAGCTGCTTAGAAACTTTATGGTCACATTTGCCAGGAGAATAGAAATAAACTTCCATGTCATTTGAGACCATCTGAAATCTGGCCTCAACTTACTTCGACAACTTCTTCCTATAATGTATCCTACCTTCTAACCAAGCAAGTCATTGGAACATATCTTGTTCTTTCCTTTGTCACAACGTTGCATCTTCTTAGCGATATCTGTTGGGTCTTACTCATCCATCAAGATCCAGCTCTTTTCCATGAAGTTTCCTCTGTGTCCATAAGAACCTTGTTTGTACATTCCTATGATGCCTACATGGCTGTATCATAATTTGGTACATTTTATGCATCTTCTTGGGACTGTGTCTCATTCATTTTACTACTTGTGATAAAACAGGTGGTTTGTGAATAAGGGGTTAAGGTTGCTGTAAGAGAGTATCAAGAAATTGTCTAGAGGGGGTGAGTACAGCTCAAGTGGTAGAGTACATACTTAGTGTGCATGAGGTCCTGGGTTCTACCCCCAGGACCTCCTCTAAAAAATTAATAAACCAAACTACCCTCCCCCAATTTAAAAAAATTTTATATATATGTATATATAAATGAATCACTATGTTATACACTGGAAATTATTGTAAATCAACTATACTTCAAAAACAGAAGACGTTGTCACTGAAATTTGATTTAAATGTATCACATTCTTTTACTTCCAGTGTCTGTCAAGATGGAATTCTGCTTTGCCAGACTCCAATTGATTTAACCCTACGTAAGTTCTGAAATTGTGATGCAAACTTAAGATATGGACTTTGGTTAAAATAAGCAGATCAGGAGGCCCTTGATTAACAACCTCCTTTGTCCCGCAGAGAATTGTTCTGGAGGGGCTGAATACATTGACTGCAGTGACCCCAAGGCCCAGACAAGATTTGACACCACGTGTAGCACTCGGAACATACCTATTTTTGATGTAAGTACCATGGCACTGGAGTTTAGTTTTTTAAAAATATTTCATCATTTCAGGGAAGAAGGAAGTGAAAACATTAATGCAAAATAATTAGAAGATCGTTATTTATTGTGTGTCATTTTGACCTGTCAAATGATGACTCTAAATGTATACGTGGTATAGTTACGTTCTGTCAATTAAAACTGAAAATGTGATATATTTAGAGTAGTGCCTCATGGTGTACATTTTATATTTGTTTCTGTAGGAGAACTTGCCTTGCAGACGTGGGTGCTACTGCCCAGTAGGCATGGTTCGAAATTCTAAAGGGAACTGTGTCTCTCCCGAAGACTGCCCTTGCTCTTTTGGTGGAAGAGAGTATGACCAAGGAAGTGTCACCCCAGTTGGCTGCAACAAATGGTGCCTAACACATGATTACTTTTTTATTTTGTTTTGGATATTTGAAAGTGTACAATCTGCTCTTATTTTATGGGAAAGAAGTCATTCTTGGGGTTATTTGGGAAAATAATCATCAAATGTAGTTAGGAAAAATGCTTTTTTTAAAAATAGAAACTTTATATAGCATTATGTATGATGACCATCATATAATATAGACAGCTGCAAAATTGAAACCAATGTGAAGCATTGTTCTTTGTTTCTTTACAAACATGGTATGAGTGTATCTATCTTGGCATAATATAATTACCACACTCTCATTGTTTTAGTACTTGCATAAAAGGATCTTGGAACTGTACACAAGATGAGTGTCAAACCACCTGCCACATCTATGGCGAAGGTCATGTTAGAACTTTTGATGGAAGAAGTTACAGCTTTGATGGTCTCTGCCAGTATTCATTTCTCGAGGTAATTACAAGTTTTGTTTTATCACAATTTTTCTATACTTCTTAATATTTTTTATTTCTACATGAGCTCTGGAGAATTTTGTTCCCAAAATGTGAAAGCTAAAGAAAGATAGCCCTTTGTTGTTTCTTGAAAGCAGTAAAATGGAACATAATGTAATGATGATTCCACATTTCACTCCTGAAACTATAATTTCTCAGATGTGTGACTTTGGGCACATTCCTTAATCTCTCTGCATCTCAGCTTTTTTTTTTTTCTGTAAAATGGGGATAGAAACAGCCCCTATTTGAAACCAAATGAGAGCAAATATTGGCTCATATACTAAGTGCTTGATGAATATGGGATGGTATTATCCTGACAACAGCACCACCAGCAACATGACAGTTACTATTTTATGAGTGCTTCTTTGCCAAGTGAATTTATGTATTTTATTATACTTAATCATTTACAATATAAAAGGCTTATATTATTATTCCTATGAGGGAGGTTTAGAGGGGCTAGCAAGGTAAACTACTAAGTAGAAAATGCCATATTCAAACCTAGATCATCTGATTCTGGAATTCGTGATTGCTCCATACAACTAAACTGAGTAACACGTAATGAAATTTGGATTGTTTTGTATTCAGGCATTGATATATCTAGTTACATACAAATCACCACACCTTTATCTAGCTATTTGCAGAGCCTAGAAATAAATCTATGATTACAACCTTATATAATTTAAATATTTATATATCTATGGTATAATTCTAAACTTGTATAGAGGTAACGGGAAAAGGACTGAATCAAAGTGACTTAACTAGTTTGGACTCAGCCAAGGATACTGACCCATGATGCAGTTAAACCATTTTCTTTTGGAAATTTGATAACACAACATATAGTAGTTTATTGAGTGTAAGGTGTCACTGTCTTGGAAGTATTTATCTAATATAAATATTGTAATTGAGTTCTATGTCCCCAATATAATAAACTACTATTAAAATTTAATTTTTAAAGGATTATTGCGGTGACGAAAATGGCACATTCCGTATTTTAACTGAAAGTGTCCCATGCTGTGAAGATGGGCTTACATGCTCAAGAAAAGTTATAGTTGCTTTTCAGGTACAGTATTATTATTTATCTTTATTTGCTTTTTTGCTCAGATTATGAACTGCCAAATAAAACTGATGTTACCATAAATCTGTCTTTCAATTTACAGGATCAGAATGTTGTCTTGCATGATGGTAAAGTAACAGCAGTCAAAACTACAGAAAGTAAGGAATGTGAACTCGATGGAAATTTGTACACAGTACATACTGTTGGCCTGTACTTGGTTCTGAAATTTTCAAATGGAATAACCGTGATTTGGGACAAAAATACAAGAATGTCTGTTATACTGGATCCACGCTGGAATGTATGTATATCACATTCATATGCATAAAATAATGTAACATAACAAAGCAAATAACATAATAGAAACAAAATCATTTTTGTTACTGAAATTTGGAGATGTAGTCATAGGTGGCAAGTGGGAGAGTGACAGTATTTCTTATAGAACAAGCCCTCCACGTGTATTCAACCTTTCAGGAAATATCAAATATAATCAAAGATGACATAACTTGCTCAAAAATAAATGCAATAAAGCGGAAGCATTCTAGTTTAACCACATTTGGTTATTTGCTATTATCGTATAACACAATTTTGAGGTAGTCGGTGTATTAGTAGAAATAATTGCATCCCTTGGAGCAAATATGCTAAGAACCTAAGAGTATACTTATGTAGAATTTGAAGCTGGTGAATAGAATGATTTTTTAATTCTTAAGGTATTTATCTTAGTCAATATTAGGTCCTTTTGCAATATATGAAATCTTGGATTAAACAGGAGCAGAATCTTATCCGCAGATTCTAGTTCCCTTCCAAAATTTGGAATTTAAAATAGATTTATGATATATATGTAATCATAATATCTCTATCATCTATCTATCTAGCCAGCTAACTAGCTATCTGTATATTTCTATCTCTATATACGTCTCTAGTATAACTCACTTCTTAATCTCCCTTTCTGATCTATATAGGGTAAAGTATGTGGTCTTTGTGGAAATAACAATGGCGATCTCAAGGATGACTTCACGACGAGATACTCATCAGTCGCTGCTGGAGCCCTGGAATTCGGAAACAGCTGGAAAACAAGCCAAGAATGTTCGGACACAGTAACTCAAACTTTCCCGTGCGACTCCAACCCCTACTGTAAAGCCTGGGCTGTGCGGAAGTGTGAGCTCATCCGGGACAGCACGTTCCGGGACTGCCACAGCAAGGTAGTGCGGCTGCGGCGGCGCACGCGCACG